TAGGAGATTAGTGGCTATAAAGAGATGGATTGCTTTTTCGTGCGCATTTTCACGAGATTGTTACAAACGTAATGCGAAAGTTCACTCCAGGTACATAGTACGTAGGGGACATGCGTTTACGCGCACACTGTACGCGAGTCGAAGAAGAGGTTCGTGTAACATATAAGTCTACTATACAACAGCGCGATACGGCGATACGGCGATCATCCGGTATTTTGTCACGTACATTTCTTTCATACTGATATCGATATCCCTGTTGTCTTGTACACTTGTTCATTCTCGCTCGTGTGGATTTTGTATTCTTATTTTATTATTGTTATATTATCATTTCTTTTTCTCTTTAACAATGGCGGCCGGTGACCGCGTGATCGTTCCGCTGCTTTCGCTTGCATTTTTCGTTTCAGTGTGTGTGTGTGTGTGTGTGTGTGTGTGTTTTTTTTTTTTCTTTTCTTACATTATATATTTACACATATACATATTTGCCTCTTTTCTCTTAGAAGCGCAATTAGCAGCAGGGAGATTTTCAATTTTTTCGCTGTTACGTTCTTTATCACCGCTCACAATCACCGCTTTGATCGCCGAACAAAAGACACTCGTTTCTGCTCGTCTGCTCGTCGATGTTGCTTCTACATCGACTCGCGATATACGACTCTTGCGCAATTTGTAAATTTGAACGATCGTGAGTAAGCTGGCAAGTAAGATTGCAAGTCGCAATCGAATTGATAACGAGCGACTTTGTTCGGTGTTTCTGTACTTTTCTTTCCTTGCGCAATTTCTTTCTTTTCACAAATTCTCTCAATGGACTTTTGGACTTATCAACCACTCGTCCACCAGTGCGAAGAAACGAAGAAAGGGACCGCGTGCTTTTTACGTATCACGATGATTATATCACTTCCGCACGTCTCTAGATTTCGCATCTCGCATACGTTTGTGTTCCCCCTTTACCTTTATGTGTGTCCGCACACACGCTTACCCGTGTGATGTTTGTTATCTACCTTTTTTTTCTCCGTTACTTTCCGCTGCCACGTATTACCAGCCTGCGTGTTTTGCCGTTTTTTATAATTCGCTCTGATTTTGTCAGCTGGTTCTATCTCTCGTGTGAACCAGAGCGATAGCACAAGATGCTGCAACACGAACGGGCAGTCGTTAAGCGTGTTGCCGATAAAGAGGATGGTTGGCGAATTTTATTGGCCGAACGAATCTCGCGTGTTAAATATCGCCTGTCGTCGAATGTACATAACGTACGTAACACGTGACACGAATGTGTTACGCAATGACGAACGGGAGAAAGAAACAGATTTCGCTCGTGCGAAATGCAATGACACATAATACACAGGCGGCGAATTATTTGAATTTGAGAACCGGTGGCGACAAGTTGCGGTGAAAACTACACGTGGCAGTGAATGAATAATGAAAACCGTCGGCACTTTAATAGAGATCGTTGACGTTAACAGCACCTCAAGGAGAGAAGTACAATCGAGTGGTACATTCGTTCTCGTGAGAGATTCAAGCCGAGACAATGGGTTCGCCCGCCGCGCCGTCGCGCGAGAAAGGAAAACGAGGATCGACATAACGACTTTTTGTAACTTGCGCGATCAAGCGAGAACAATCGTCGCGGATAAACGGCGGCCAATTTATTAATTCTATCGCTCGCGCGACGCCCGTTTGCTCACAGAGCGCTCTCGCCGTTATTCCACGTTATTTCGCGGTTAAAAATCGCCGTTAAAAAGAGCCGCTGCAAACGGCACGATTGTTATCGCACGATTGCTGCATCGTGTTATCGTCGACTTATTCAGGTTGCTTGTTTTGCTTACCGCGCGCCACGTGGTGCGCGCTGATCACGTGATCAGCTGCGCGCGCGCGCGCGCGCGTTCAGGTCGACGTGTAAAATTGTTTCTGAAGCTTCCGTTAGCAGACACCCAAGGAGACAAATAGAGGAGGCTCGTCTGACTTCACTCTGTGTACTTTTCTCTGCGACGTGACACGTTCCTCCGTGTGCACCGTTCGAGGAGGAGACAATCGGCGTCTCGGTCGCCTCCTCGAACGATCTCTCCTAACACGGGCCCCCTGCATCGTCACACGAACACGCCCTTAGACTTAGGTCACTATATTATACACCGAATCCAGAATCACATACACTGCTCTCTGTGGTCGTCACAAGTCTCGACTCGATGTTTAACCCGGTGTTATGGATTTATGAACACCAGCCCGCCGCGCACATGTGTATACACACACACTTTCGTTCTGCCCTTTTTCTCGCTCTAGCACTTTTCTCACCTACCTTCTCTCTCTCTCTCTCTCTCTCTCTCTCTCTCTTTTTATTCCTCCCATCCCTCCCTCCCCCCCTCTGTTTCTCTCTCTCTCTCTCTCTCTCTCTCTCTCTCTCTACATGTGTCCCTCTCATTCTCGTACCGTTCACTATACACTTGGTCTGCCGGCTAAACCCATTCAACCGCACAACCGATTTGAAATTGACTCCGCTCACTTCTTCCTCCGACTAGTTTTTGTATGTCGATCCGCTTCTCGCATGTTTCCTGGCTGTTGCACCGCTTGCTCGCCATCGTACGGCTTTTTACCAGATCTCGAGCTCAGTGTCGAGAAGATTACGACATTGTTGTGGGAGGGGGAAAGGGAAGTTGCATTTCGATATCACAAGCGTGAGATGGGGCCGCGCCGAAGAAACAGTTTTTTCAATTTCTTCTCTCTTGTAACTCGGTCCCGGCTGGAAACAATTTGCGAACAATTCTGTTTGCAACTTCGAGCTGGAACCTTCGTCGTGTTAGAAATTTCACAGTTTGACAGTGTGCGCTCGTCGTTTGATACCGACCGACGTTTAATACGCTCATGGCGACGATCGACTATATCGAGCGAATTATATTCGCGGCAAGCCGAGTTTGCGCTCCTCAAGACGAATTGTCTTCTCTGCCGTCATCGAGACACTCGCAGTAACGCAAAGTAATTGAAATGTTTATTGTTATTAAAACGGTGAAATATATCCAAGCGTGAGAAACCTTCGTAGGCTCTTTTTATTATTTATATCTCGCGATTGTAATGTGATCGCGCGACTGATTGAATATCTTCAGTCGTGCAGTCGTTTTGCAACGAACGATTTATCAATGTCTCTCGTTCGCATCGAAATAATCGTGCACGTTCAAGGCGATCAAAGCGATCGAAACCGTACGATTGGCTCGATCTGCACGTGTCGCAACTTCTTTTGTTCCTTCCTTTTTTTTTTTTCTTTTCTTTTTTCCTTCCCCTACTCGAGACACGATCGATATATTACGTGTCTTTATCGACGTATGCACGTTCTCACTGCATAGTGCGGTCCTCTCTCCAGCACTCCACCCCCCGGGACCGATCGACTAGATTTTCTATTTATTCCTATGATAATGACCGTTTCTTTTCGATATCGTTGGATGGTAAAACGGCATCTTGAAACAGATGAAAAGAGGAGAGAACAGAGTCAAGAGTCGCGCGGAGAACACTTTTGACCGCTACGTCGTCGTCGCTTCGTCGTTCGGCAGCCTTAACGGCAGTCTACTGAGATTATCACATGTAGACGTCTTATCGCGCGTTATATCAATTGTTATCGCGGCAAAGTGGTCGAGGCTTCGTATAAACATCAACCGCAATCGTACACGGTTCGCAAAGTAAAAGCACTCTACGAGAGTGCGCGAGAGAACGTCCGTCCATGATTATTCACACAGCGGTCCGCGATTAACCCTCGCGGACTCGTAATCGGACGGATAAATAAATGGCTCTGTTGTAACTCTCGCTGCTCGCTCGTGAAAAATAGCGAGTGTAATAAAGTATGTTAGAGAGAGAGAGAGAGAGAGAGAGAGAGAGAGAGAGAGAGAGAGAGAGAGAGAGAGAGAGAGAGAACGAGCGAGCGGCAATAAATTCTACCTTTGTACGGACGCTTCATTGAGGATTTAAAACGGGCCGCATCGGAATTAACCGCTTCGCGGATGTAAATTTTGTATGAAAGCTTGAAAGGGGCTATCATTGGAGGTTGAGCTCAACTCGCGTTGAAAAACCTCACCTCGGGATCATCGCGCGTCGACGACTCCACCCTCCGAGAGGCCGTTCTTTCTGTCGGAGGGAATATCGCCGCCGCCGTTTCATGACTTTGTAATCGGCAAACTCTTATCGCGCTGCTATACGTACGAGATGCATCACCGAGAAGCGTCAGCGGATCAGTTACCGATCCGATCACAAATCGATGCGTCAATAGCCGTACGTACAAGCGCGCAGCTTTTTACTTGCCACACTTGTCTCTCACATCGAATCGCATCGAAATGCAATGCAACGGTGAGAAACGAGTGCCAATAGCGCGCGCGCGCGCGCGCGGAGCCTGACCGCTTGCCGCCACACATTCAAATCCAATCACCGAGATTGCCAAGGAAGACACTCACTTGTGTCACACGAGGCGGATACACCGCGGAGAAGTGAAGCCAATGTCTGCACGGCGAGAATAATCGATCTAATCTACATCGCCACGTAACTTTGCTTTGCTCGACAGATCGCTCATTTACTTTCGCGATGATCGCTCGACGAGAGAGAGTGCTCGATCGATATTCGCGACAGGAAAAAGAGATTATCTTTGCGAAAGCGCGATAGTACGCGTGCGTGTGCGGGAGAGAGAGAGAGAGAGGTGGAGAGAGAGAGGGAGAGAGAGAGAGAGAGAATGGTCAGCAAGTAGAAATACCATGAAATTGATCGCGTGAAAATTTGCTGAGGCTGCTCGTGTGACGCGGTTCTTACGGATCGACATGTGACTCTTTGCAGACTTCACTTCCCCGCGACGTATCGAGTCGACGTAGTGAGGGAAGCGATATACTTAGGCGACAATGTTAAAAAAAAAAAACGAGAAATACAAGCTTAGCGCTTCTCGTCATGCGACGTGGCTTTATCGATATTTCGTATAATCGTACTAGGCGTTATGTAATCAGAAACTGTCGCATATCCGTATACGTGATGTATGTATGTATGTTGTACAGAGGATAAGAAGGGCGGCGTCGACCGGAGCAGCACGGTCATTGCCAAAGAACCCGAAGGTAAAGCCAATAACTCTTGGAGAGCGAGAAACGCGTTTGCGCGTTTCGACTTCTCTCCTTTTATGTATTACATATGTAATTGCGCGCGCGCGCGCGCGCGTATGTGTGTTATATGTGTATATATATATATATACATATACATATTTTTTATATATATATACACATATACACGCATGTACGCATCGTGGATTACTTGTGAACGTCCCGCGATCTGCACTGGTCTCTCCCATCCGCGTATTCGGATTAAACGCGACGTGATTAAACGGCAAAGCGCGGAAGCTTTGTGCAAGAAATTGGAAAATTTGGAAAATTACGAAAGAAAACGTTTCCGCGCACGACCGTGTGTGTGTGTGTGTGTGTTTTACACATTCGTGTAAATTTTTATTTTGCATAATTTCGTCGTAGTTGCTGCTGAAACGTGACCTTTGCGCGATCTTTCGGAGACGGGAAAACGAGAAAAACTGTCAAAATTCGTGATATTTTATCGGAACGTTTTGACATTTGACTCGAGCGTGAAATACACATGTGTATGAAACGCCGATATTTTTGTGAAACTTTTGCGTGATATCGCGTGAAATTGGTCAATATTCAAAGTATAATTTGCAGGGTATTGGCTGCGTATGGGGGGATGGAAAAGTAGCAACTCTTTTGTATCGGAGAATCATCGCGGATGGGAGAAGCCGAGCTCACGAGGGGCCCCGTGCCCCCATTTTCGAGCTTTTGCATCCTGTCTGTTACAGCTTCTGCGAAATCGTATGGCGGATTTACCGTCTCTCCCGTCGTTTCGTCAACTAATATTTTGGAGAACGAAATGTCTCTCTTTTTTTCTCTCTTTCTCTCTCTCTCTCTTTTTCTCTCTCTCTCTCTCTCTCTCTCTCTCTCTCTCTCTCTCTCTCTCTCTCTCTCTCTCTCTCTGGCCCTTTTCTCTGTCCCCGCACGTATGTAAGCCCGTTCTAATCAATCTGCAATTAATCCAGCGGTCCGAAACGAGGATCCTCCTGAGCCCCTTCTCGACGCTGCGCGACAAAATTTGCTTCGCAGCCGAAGCGAACACAACGCAGGGATTACGTATCTTCCCGCGATCGATCGTTGCAATATTCGCGATTGCATTATGTGCTCTTTGAATCGCTGTGCTTCCAGGTGTGTTTGTGTGTGTGTGTGTGTGTGTATGTAATTAAACCTCAACGATTATCGATATTTCTTTCATTACTAACTCTGCAGCTGATTCCGCTGGTACTTGCTATAATTATAACATAAATCCTCCATAAACTGATACACGGCGACGTGGAAACCGTTGTTAAACCGCAACGGTTCGTTGCCGATTTGTTTCCCTCTAAAACGGCCTACGGTGATGATTAAAGAACTCGAAAGTTATAATAATAAACTCCAACTAACCAACTGTGGACGTGGAGAGCTCGCTCGCGTTTTTTACATTTTAAGCCCAAGTAAAATTAACAAGTTTGTTTCCGCCACTTGAGGCTGCTTTCGCCAGTTAATGTCAACTGTGTGTGTGTGTGTGTGTGTGTGTGTGTGTGTGTGTGTGTGTGTGTGTGTATGTAAGTAACGCCTCATCCTGCAGTGTAGAACAATATCCGTAAAAACTAAAAATCCTCAACCCTTAAATTCTTAACAGATATAATTAAAACATAACAAACAGCAAATATCATGCGCGCGCGAACCTCTACCTTGCCTGTCATTCTTATTTTCCCTTATCTTCATCTTTGTCACTCATCTCGATTTCATATCGTCCTTATCCTTATCTTATCGGATCCAGTCGGTAATTACGTCGACTGAAGGCCCAGCGGTGCCACTTGGTACTCGCTTCGCGCGCGCTCAAGACGTACTGTCAACGGAAATACCTGTGTGGCCGCTTGGCATTACTTGAAAATAGATCAGCAGCTGTTTGAGACGACGTCGTCGTCGTCGTCGTTCGTTCGACTTACCTCGGAACGAGTCGAGTCGCGCTCGGGAGCGAGCTGAGCCGCAATTTCGGCTTTTCCGCGTCGGCTAGTCGCAAATTTTCCTTTCAGAGACTACCGGCCTTTGTGCGCCGGAACATTCCATTTTTTTCTTTTTTTTTTTACCTTGCGAACGCAAGATTTCTCGTCGACATTGTCGACATTGCGCGGTTATCGCGATAGTGTGATAGTGCGAGTGCCGGTCTCTCTCTTTCTCTCTCTCCCTTCCTCTCTCTCTCTCTCTCTCTCTCTCTCTCTCTCTCTCTCTCTCTCCCCCCCTCCCTCCCTGCCTCTTTTGTGCGTGTACGCACGATTTAGCGGAAGAAATCGTCGCAATGTCTGCCAACAACGTGCCCGGTCCGTCCAAGCACACGGAGAATCATGGTGAGTCGTCACCCGGTTATTTGTTACACCTGGTTATCTTATTAAGCGCATGTGTATACGGTGCGCGGCGCGCAGCGTACAGCCGTTCATTCCGCACGACCACGTTTCACCCTCGTGCCGGCGTTTGTTTACCTGGCATCGAACTCGTCGAGGATAAAAATACTCTTCGGTATAAATGCGCTACGTGGCAACGTCTTCCCGGATAATTTGGTAAATCGCCGCTTCGTTGCGAATGAAGGCCCGTTTTATTCGGGACGGGTTATCCGAGACGGACGATCGAGTACACATTTGACGGTAATGGTGAGAGAATTTCGCGACTGACTGACACGCGATCTCGAATGCATTCGGAATGTCTCAGGGTTCTCCCAACAACTCTCTATTTACCTACGGTCTTTTTCTATGCCAACTGCTGATCGATTTGCTCGTACCTCGACGAGAAAAACCACAGAGATTTACCGGGTAGAGGGAGGGTGGGGGGAGTATCAGTGGCCGCGACTAGCCGTTGAATTTCAATTCCCGCGGAATTGGCTCGAGGAAAAATTGACGCGCGTTTCACAACCTGACGAGAATGAGAATTCCCGCATCCTCGTCGATTCTTTGTAACTCGAAAGCCACAACGGCTCTGGTCTGCTCGATCCTGTGAGTTAAGAGGAAAAAGAAAGGGCAAAGCAAAAAAAGGGGAAAAAGAATGTATACTCCAAGAGTACGGCAAGGAGAACTCGTGGACGAGACGAAGCGCGGAGGACCCGGAGCACTTTGTACGTCGATTTGCCGGTTTTGCCGGTATCTATATTAGTCGCGGACTGTAACTCTAACAGCGTCCCGCTGTGCAAAATGAACTTTCGACGCGAAGCTGAACGCTACGTATAGCCGTGTCACGATCGCAGACGCTCTTAAGATCTATTTCAAGAATAAACCTCGTCTATGTGCGGATTACGCGCGAGCGAAAATTCATCGTCTGCTCGCGCGCGGCCGTTCTCGTTCCACTTGCCAAGGCCATTGCCTTACTGATAATTACGTCAGCGGCGCTGTCTCTCCCTCCCTCCCTCCCTCTCCCTCTCTCTCTCTTTCTCTCTCGCTCTCTCTCTCTTCTCCCTTGTTCCATGCCTCATTCGGCGATTTATCAATCCGATCGTCTATGCGATCTCATTCGAGGCTATTAACGGATAAAGATCTTGCTTCCGTCCCCTCTCGAGAGATATTTGTCCGACTAATCTTCGAGCAATGTTCCTCCTCTCGTTCTTCAGAAGCGCGCGCGAGTCTCGTGTCTTCGCGTCTTCCAGTCGTGGAAACGTTCCTCGATGCGAGCGAGCTGCTGCTCTCGATCGATACGGCTCGATAACGCTGTACTAACCCTCGTCCACGATTAACGTAAATGGGCCGCATTACGACGGCCGGTCCAACGGCCGGCGAAGGCGTGTGCGGCTTTGCGATTTCGCCTTGTTTCGGACGCGTGCCCTTCACCGGCGATTCCGATCGATACCGTGTTTTCCTCGTGTGCTCCTCCTCGCGTAGAGCGACTCAGTCAGTGTGTCGCGCCGAAATAAAACATGGGCCGCGTCAATAGGCGACAGTCGCTTGGCGGAGCTCGCCTCGCCTCGCCATTTGCGCTTCCTCGTGCTTTTCGCCGTTCTCGTGGCGTCGTGTTGTTATCGCGTGTGCCGCTGCGATCGTTGCGGTTACTTCTCTCGCGATACCTACGGCAACCCGACAACAAGCTCTCTTGGCTCGTTCCAAGGTACACCTCCGAGCAGCCCCGCGACAATGTCCGCGTTCTCCAGGGCGGTCGGCGCAGCCACGAGCATTCAAGCGAACAAGCAGGCGGCGGCGGCGGCGGCGGCGACGGCCCCGAACCAGACTCAGGCCCAGATCCCGGTTGTCAGTACGGGCAACCCCCTCGGAATTGCCGCGGTTCTCCTTCAAGGTACCCAAGGTAAATCCAGGATTTAGAGCCGGTTGGCTGGTTGGATCTCCCTTTCGCTGCGAATCGTCGCCTTCGATTCAATTCCCGGAGCCTGCTTCTCGGCCTAACGGCCGAGGCGACCCCGCCGCCCGCGCCGGGACGATATTTCGAGCGATCTTTCCGCTGACCGAATCCTCGACCGAATCCTTTCGAGCTTCAACATTCAACATGCGATCATCGTGTGAAAGTAGTAGATTTGAATTTACGAGTAACCGCGAAGACAAAACGAAGAAAAATCTGGCGAGAAACAGAGAGATAGAGAGAGAGAGAGAGAGAGAGAGAGAGGGAGAGAGCCCGGTGGTCACATCCGATTTGGTTCTAATGAAAGTCTGCTGCTCAAGGAGAGAACATCTCTCGATGTCTTTGGGATCCCACCACTGTCGCGTTTCGCACGCACTGGGAGAAATTTTCAATCTGTCGATACGGTGTCTGTCGGCGCAGATTGATGAAGGGTATTACAGCGCGGTGATTCCCTTGAAAAAGTATCGGATATTATCGATACTTTCGAAATATATATACATCTGCTAGTGTTTCGCAACAAAGTTGCGGAGCGATTATTACGAATTTTCCGACCCGACCTTGTCACGATTGACTCTCACGCATTTTCTCGTCTCAATGCTAGGTGCGAGGTACAGGTGCACCCTTTGAATTCAGGTCTCTCTCTCTCTCTCTCTCTCTCCCCCCCTCTCTCTCTCCCTCTCCCTCTCTCTTTCTCAATTTTGTCCCTCAATTTTGTGAAATAACGAGGCGAAAGAATGGATCGCTCGCGCGGAGAGATTTGTCGGATGAAGATCGGTTCGCCATGCACTTTTCCAAGCCGAGCGCGTCAGACGCTGTAAGACTAAATTTTATCCATATATCGACTTCTCTCTGCGTTATTATTCCTTGGCAACGGATCTCCCTCTCCCTCTCTCTCTCTCTCTCTCTTTCTCTCCAACATAAAGTCTCTCGATTATTTATACCTCTCAAAATCACCCACAATATAATCCGGAAGAAGGGAAGAAACCATGGGAAGATGCGATGAGATGTACTACGCGCGCGTGTCAGGTTCCAAGATAAATCGAGAAAGGGTTACCGCCTGGTTGGTGTTGATTTATTAATTTATTATAAACTACGCGACGTTGCGCACATTCGCGCATGTTACGTCGCTTAAAACGCGCGTTATCGATTGCTCGGCTCGCTCGAGTCCGTCGACTTGGCGAGTCGAGGTAATCAATTGTAGAGAAGCGTCGTCGGGGTGGCTTTCCTCACGGAGGATAGATTCCACAAGCTTGTTCCGCGGAACGATGTCGCTTAATGTCCGTCCCAGTCTCTTTTTCTCTCTCTTTCTCTCTCTCTCTCTCTTTCTCTCTCTCTCTCTCTCTCTCTCTCTCTCTCTCTCTCTCTTTCTGTGTGTGTCTCGTGTCGCAGGACAAGAGGTAGGCACGTACCAGGAAGGAGACGCTGAAGCGCCAAGCAACGGCGATCTCGACGAATCGGTAAGGTTGCCCAAGCCGGATGACCCATTTCTGCTTTCACGCTTTATCGAGATTCTCCGTGAGAGAATCGCGCGCACATGTATATGCCGTATACATACACATATATGTAGTCGGTCCCTCTCTTGCAGCGGTAATCCCTGATAAAACGAGGACGAGGCAGGAATCGGTCGAGCCGTTTCCGCTTTAGAGAGTTGGAGCATGATTTGGAATTTATACGATACCTCACCGTTTCGGTATACTCATCATTGTTGCGCGCGCGATGTGCGTATTATACTCCCTCCGACAACATCTCTTCTTCGACAACATCACGGCGAACTCACACGCTTTCTCACACCCGCCCTTAATTTAACATGTCTCTCGACAGCTTGTCCGTCCTTTTTGCGTGCGCCGCATTCACGTCACACGCACACACTCACGTCGCACGCACACACTCACGTCATACACGCGCGTACTCACACTGCGTGTGCTCGGCGACATCCTTTCGGCAAACAGATGTGTGATCCTTACCCGACCCTTATCCTTCTTTCGCAAATGGCATGACGAGTTCAACGGAGAAGTGAACTTTTCTCTCTCTCTCTCTCTCTCTCTCTCTCTCTCTCTCTGTGCCAACCTTTGATTTCTCCTCGACACGCTTACACACGCGTACGAACGCGCACGCAACGCACACACGACTGTTACACACGGCGCACACTGTCTGATGAATAATTAATTAATCCCGTCAACTGACCGAACGACCGCTCGACCGGCGATCTTTTTTCTTTTCTTTTCTTTACTTTTTCTTTTTCGACAAGTTTCACTCATCGTCGACAGGACCCTCTACGGTGGTAACACACCAGCTTGCACTCGTCGGCTCGCTCTTCCGGCGACATGTCGCGATACGCAACGGCTCTCCCTGCGTCCTTTCGTCGGATCTTTATTATTTACGGATTCAAACACCGAGAATAGACGGCGACGACGATCGATCGCGAGTTTTACACCATCCCATCGCCGCGGCCCATCGTGGTCCGCATTCATTCTCGAGGGGTCGATAAATTCGTCAATAATTTTCGGCGAGCGCGTCATCTCGGGATGTGAATCTGACCAACAGACGGAATAAGACTTACCATGCGATCGAAATGCGACTAGATACATGTGCGTCTGATGTCTGCGGTCGACGACGTAAATTTGTCGTTTCAAGGTTTTTCTTTTTTCTTTTTTTTTTTTTTTTTTTTTTTTATAAATAATTGAATTTATTCGATATTCGACCTGTCAGCTCAGTTTCCCTCGGTACAAATCACAAAGCTTCTATTAATCATTTAGCTTGCGATAATTTGCGGAATACAGACGGTTTAATTTAGATAGTCGGCTGTAGGACGCTATTTCTCGAGCCGTATAGACCCCCAAGACGATTTACAGTATCAATAAAAAGTCGCGAAAGACAAAGGGCGCAGTTTGAGCTGATGGTCGCTGGTTGAAGGAGCCGGCCTGCCAACACGACTCGACGCGACGCGACGCGACGCGACGTGCCAAAGCTTCTTCGACGTTGACACTAGCTCGTGTTTGGTTGGTTGATTGCATGACTAGCTGGCAGCGCAGGAGGCGGTAGCAGCAGCGGTGGCAGCAACAACAGCCAAAACAGCCAAGCTGGTGTGTCGCCGCCGTCGCCGGCCAACCTCCACCAAGCCAACAACGGCAGCAACGGGCCGACGGCATCGCGACGCCAGGACTCCTCGGCCATCGGTCTGTAGCACGAACGATCTAGCACATCCCCCTAAGAGATTCTCCCATCCCTTCTCCCCACAGAGGGTGGAAGCGCCCAGTGCACGTGGCTTCTGTCGGGGCGATCCGTCGTCGTCAGTCTTTACTCGCCGATTATTTCCCGGGATAAAAAGCAGTCTGTCGTTTCGTCAACATCAAACATTGAGAGCCGTCAAAAATTGAGAGCTGAGAATCAGGCGAGGGGATTTAGATTCGGTGCGTACGTCGTTTGGAAAATAGCGAGAGCTAATCGCGATTCTGTTACTCCGCTTCATTGATATCGTCGGTTTGTTTGGTGTCTCTGCGAATACTTTCGCAAAGTGTATAAATCTCTGATCTATGACTTTTGTTTTGATATATTGTGCGCAAAAGATTTTCGCGGTTCTTCACTCGAGATCGAATACACCTCTCTCTCTCTCTCTTTCTCTCTTGAACATCCGAAAACGCGCTTCTCACTTGAGATTTGATATGCTTCGGTCGACTTTTCTACAAATCTACGAGAACGGAACGGCGATGAATTCCCTCTCTTTGATCCGAGCTCTCATCGAGCTGGCGACTTTGCACAAAATGCGATTTGCGATTCTGCCGATGGCGGCGGCCTCCGCTTCGCGGCAGAACAGTTGCGTAGCTACCGCGAAAGAGGGGCGAGTGAATATATAGCGTAACGCTCGGACGAAATATCGGAGGAGTGCGATCGTGTCGAATATTTACGAGACTGCTGGACAGAAGTATTACCCGAAAACCGCGCGTCCGTTCGCGGCGTCTATAAATAATCGACGCTAATATTCGCTATGATTTATACGGAACGCGGTCCGGCTACGCGCGCGCGCGCGCGAATAAAGCGAATAAAGAATGAAGTAAAAATAACGGGGAACGTGCGAAGGGACGAAGGGATTAATTGCGAGATCGACCGGCACGTTCGGGCATCGAGCCCGGTGCGCGATCGACGCGGCTGCATTGTTCGCGGCGTTACGACAAATGCACGCTGCATCTGGTACGAACGCTGACGGAGCTCCCTCCCTCGCAATAAGTCGCGATAAGTAACATCGGATGCGCTCGGAAGTGATTTTCATGCTCTTATCGACTACTTTGGCGAGTGGGGCAGAAAAGAATAATCAGTATATTTGCGTCGCGTCGCGAAAATTTTCGTCAAAAATTGATTCACCTTTCGCGATCCCTCCCCTTTCCCCTTCGCGGTTTCTCAATTTTCTCGGCAAATCGGCGAACGCACGACGTCGGAGACGAGACGTCGGAGTGTCAACGAGAGACGTTAAGGGGAAAGCTCCGATTCTATCTCCGCGTTTGTCTCCGCGCACCGTGCCGTCAAAAACAAAAAAGGAAGGGAAAAAGAGGTAAAAAAGGGAAGAAAAAACATAAAGAGCATAAAAATGCAATCCTGGCGCACCGAGGCAATTTCCGAGCTTCGTCAGCACGCATACATTTATACGCTCTCCACCCTCTAATCCCCTTTATATCGCAATTGCGATTTATTCCGGTCGCCGTTAAGCCGATAGCTCGCAAGCTCGCAATCTAATCTCTCAACGGAGCTTCTTCGTCTCTCCTGGGAATATTATCCGCGACGGGACGTCACCTTGACCGGCATTGCGTCAAGTAGCAGCTACGCCGCACGAACGAGACAATTGACATTAATGCGATTATTAACGTTGATATCTAAAAGCGCGCTTGATGAGATTAACGTTTCGCATGCACGGGACAAACGCATGCAAACGGTATTGTCGCGTGCGCGCGCGCTTTACAGACGATAATTGTATCGATTGAAAGTGGCGTGTCCTCTCACGACAGAAGAGGATCGAGGGAAAAATGTATAAAACTGAGTCAAAACGGAGCAGCAGATATTTTCACCGATTTCAGCGTTTCAACGCTCGACGGCGAGTTTCGGAGAAACGATCAATCTTTATTCATTTGTTTGTTCAATCAAACGTATTTCTCTTCTCACGTTGTTTCTATTCTGTTGAAAATTTTCCGAACGCTCGATCGAATGTTACGCGAAGCTTCGGGCTATCGGCGCAATCTCTTTCGAGATAATAATTACGATTATGTATCGGCGTTGTCAACAGTTTCTTTCTGTTTGTGTTTCTGTATGTGTTTCTCTGCATGCCGCGCTGCACGTAATCGCTCTCTCTCTCTCTCTCTCTCTCTCTCTCTCTCTCTCTCTCTCTCTCTCTCTCTCTCTCTCTCTCTCTCTCTCTCTCTCTCTCTCTCTCTCTTCCTCTCTCTCTCTCTCTCTCTCTCTCTCTCTCTCTCTCTCTCTCTCTCTCTTCCTCTTTCTCTCTTTCTTTCTCTGCCCCGCCTGCATGCGTCCACTCTTAAAACGTGCAGAACAGGAAGCACGGTGGATGAGCGATGCCGGCTGCGCGTCGACGAGCTTCAGGGAGGATCCCGAAGACGGTAAGGATGCCGTCGACGCCGGTAAGCTCGGAGGAAACGCGAGAGGGAGGAGCACGCAGCAACGTCCGTGCTGGAATCTCGCGTCCTGTAGCTTGTTGTAAGACATACGTGGTCGCCTCGTGCTTCCTCTTTGAGCGCTTTAACACCGGGGGAAACGTGAATCTTTCTCTCTTATCCTCTTTCTCTCTCTCTCTCTCTCTCTCTCTCTCTCTCTCTCTCTCTCTGTCTGTCTGTCTCTCTCTGTCTCTCCCTCCCTCTCTCTTGCTCTTGCGAAAACAGATATTGCTAAGAGAGATCTTGCGATTAGGGGAAAACTTGAGAAAAAGCGACTTGTTCAAGTATTATAAATAGAAAGAAGATGACGCAATAATAATGAGTTTGTTTCTCTCAATGAATGTATCGTGACTGTTTTTGTGCGAGAATCCTTCTGTGTGACGAGATTACGGACTCGTACGGGAACGTCGTACAAATGTCAACGTTGCGATATCGCGTTGGATCAAGTAGAAAGTTTCCATCGTTGCTGCGCAGCGTAAGGAGAGTAGAGTGCAGCGCATTGTCAAAGCTTGTAAATAGTCATTCGCAATGAGGATGAATTTTTTACGAGCACAATGACAGTGTATACGTTTCGATCGGTTGCCGATTTTGCGAAACGTCTGTCTTCTGAAAAAGAAATACCTCAGTGCCGAGTGAATTAGTAAACACGATCGACAATATAATTTCAGTTTCTTTTTCGTTTACGCCAAACAAACCCGTAGATTCGGTCTTGCGCGCGTGTACATTGTTATTACAATAGGTACAATTTGTGTGCCGCCATTCATCACGGTAATGAATGGATCGAATTCCGTTGATTACGGCTCGCTCCATCCATCCATCACATCGTATGTTCAACATGACGCTATCTCGATGCATCGTAAGCAAGTAGTAAGTAACCGAGACCGGTCAGACCGGCCGGCCGCGCGTAGCCCAGCGCTATCTACTAGATCTCCTAGATCCGCCGCCTCGATCAAACGATTCTCTAACGCCTCTTAATGCCAACCGCCAACATTTCTACGTCAGTCGGACATGTTTCGTTACGCTCGGTTGCTCGAATGAAGATTTCGCGGAACGAATCGCGGCGTAAATCAGCTCTCGATCGATCACGTCACGATGAAGAATATCGATCTTTATCCGATCTTCATCTCGTCGAGAACGAGAGATCGTGTCCTAATCAGATCACCTGCCCCCTCATCGTCGAACAAAAAATAGACCCTCGCGAGCGACTTGTCCTCGTTAATTTTCTCGCGTAAACACGCTGCGCGGCCGCATGATATAATTTCGAATCCGGAGCCGAAAGGGGTAGCGGGGGAGGGGGGGAGGGGCAAACGCAGCTGCGCTTCCGCGTGCAGCGTTGTTCGCTGTTTGCCGAATCGCGCGTGGCAAATACAGAACTGACGATCCATTTGCTCGAGACTCGCGATCGCCTCGCGTGATCCGCAATGCGTGTGCAGACTTAATAACGTGAATACGTGAATCGCGACGATGATTCACACGATTCTTGTCGCGTCGTCGCGACACGTGTGACGTCGTAGCGCAGCGATCGTAACCAAGGGGACAGGAGGATCCATACTCGAACCACCAAGAATCAACCGCAGTCATGCGAGAAATCATACAAAGGGTGCGTTCTGTCATTGCACCGAAGCGTGCACCGCGAGAAAGAACGCGGGCCTGCATCCGAGGAGTTTGCGCATTCGCGCAAACGACGATGAGAAAGCGGAAGGAAGACGACGAGAAACGGAGCCCCCCCCAGGGAGAGACGGTTAATCCTCTCAGACGATACCGCGCGCACGTGAGGATTAAGCTCGCGAGTCGCGAGAGAAGGGGCTTTTCAGGGTCAGATTGTGTGCGCGATTACGCGTGCGTATTATTCGTATTAATTGTAACAACCCTCATTACACACTCTAATCTTCAGCGCGCGCGCGCGCGCGCGCGTTATTCTTCAATTTACACGGCGCGGCGCGGCGGTGTAAAATCGGCGGAGTTTCGGCGCGCAGCCGCGAGCGGCCGCGGGCGCAGCTTAATCCTCCTCGTGCTCCTCGTACGTACGACAGCTTGCGTATCGCCTCGAAAATTATTCCCGCCTTGTCCCTTGGCCCATTTTTTAATACGAAAGGGGTGTATATTGCTTGTAGAGATAAGAATCGTGTGTCCTATCAAGACCTGCAGCCAGCTCTCGACCAACTCCCAGTGCTCAGGTAAAGTGCGAAATTACGTCGCAAGAGCGGCGGGGAGAAGCCGCGGGCCGCGGACGAAATGACGAAGAAGCGTGGAAAACGCGGCGGAGAGTCGGAGACACGAGAGACTCGCGTCTGCGACTCGCCAGTTTCCTCGCAGTTTCGGAGAGAGGCGCGTCGTGAGCGTTCCTGTTATCCGCGAATCACGATTAACAGGATTGCGAGAGAATTCTTCAGTTTCACAGTTTCGTCCTCGAACCTTGCGCGATCGAGGACTCCTCGATTCCTCCTTCTCTGCCGCAACATATATAGTTTCCGCCGACGACCGCCTGCTGCGGTTTGCTTGCGCAACGTTCGCGACGCGACCTCGAGACACGCGCGAGACACGCGCAGAATTCGCGTGTCCTCGCGTAATCTCTAGAGCCACGTTCGTCGTCGATTATTGTCTCCCTCACGGAGACACAAAGTTATAAGTTTCCGCCGAGTGTAACTGTGCGAAGAAACGTAGCGACCGCTCTTGCGAAAATTTAGCGTAAATTCTTTCTCGGCGTGTTCGATTGCGGAGCTATCTTGCGGGACTCGCGAATCCGATCGATTCCCCTTCGCGCGGTCGCGTGCGCGCGCTTCCTTTGCGCGTCGAGTCACTTTTTCACGTGTGCACGTATGCACGTGAACAACGAACAGAACGAAGGTAACAGATGAAGAAATCCAAGCGATGAGCGGGACTGTGTGTTCCCACTAGATATGATTCGCATTAACGTCGTGTAACGCTAACGGATAGTGTCAGTCAGTGTCGGTGAGTCACGCGGTGAGAGCGTATCCAGTTGCAATCCTTGCAACTGGAAGCACACGTCCCAAAGACAGATCGGTCGGAGGAGCGGGACCGTTAGCTCCGTAATAGAACACATCCGAGGTGTGCGGTAAAGTTTAATAATTAGTCAGGGCGGGAAGAGAGAACAGGCGGACACACAATAGCGAGTAGTAGTGTGTAGCGTTGGCGGGGGGTTGTGCTGGTGGTGGTGGTGGTGGTGGTAGTGGTGGTGGTGGTGGTGGTATCGCGCAAAAACGATAGCGAATTCATCGTCGAGATATATAACGTTCTCCGATCCATCTCTCGCAAGACACAAATTACGGAAATTACGTCTCTTTTTCTTTCCCCCTCCGCGATATCTCCCGCCGCGTCTTCGCGCGCGCTCTTGTACACTTGTCGCTATTTTAGCGCTATTTTAGCGCTATTTTAGCGCAATTCGGCAACGAGTCACACAAGTCCTGCTTAAATCTAAACGACCATCCTCCGAATGCTACGACAATTCGACAACGCGGCTATGACAATTCTTTTCTTCCTCCACTCTTGCGACGAGATTGTATTGCCACGTATTGCCGATCGTTTCGTTCCGAAACGAAACGAAATCGATCGAGCCAAATCCAAAATAGATACGCACGGGATATGCGATCCGAGTGTAAAGAGTGTACGATTGTCGTCGTGATTCGGACGCTTGTACCTTTTGAAACCTCGCCGCGGAACTTTGCTTCGGCGCCCAAGAGGAATGATCACAATTTCCGTACGTGCACTGGTCTATGACGTAAGTAATAAACGGCGACGAACGCGTCGCGGCCGTTGGATTACATGCTGCTCATCGTTGCTCAATATCAGTTTATCGTGATTGCGCGTGCAAAGTTTCGGAAGAAAGAGTAAAAGGGGAACGAGGAAAAAGGGAAACATAGAAAGAGCTCCCGTTCTTACAACGGTGCGATCACAAACCGCGCTCAACCGGGTCTCTCTTGATCTCTCCGGTCGAAAATTCTCGCGTAGCTTACCTTACAAAAATTTGCAACGCATTTGCATGGTACACGTCACTTGTACCTGTATCGAAACATAATTCACGTATATTTTCTGTCATGTTGTATATGTATATTTAAATCTTGCGCGCAGCGCGAATGCCTGGAATATATGATATATGTCGTGCCGAGAACGTAAATGGTAATGACTCAAGTGACTCCCACTTGGACTCCCTTTGTAATTGAATTTTTTACAAGCGCGAGCGAGAAATAATTGCGGAGATTGCACGCAGGGCTGCAACGAATAATTAATATAATCCAACGACCGGCCGTTCGTTCGTAGAGACAACATCTCTCAGAGACGCACATCTCTGTCGAGTTAACGCGCGTGCACGCACCGTAACGAGGGAGAGCACAAACGTGATAAAGAAGATAAAGACTCGCCGCGAAATGTGCGTCGACGAATGCGCGTGGCTGAATGCGCCGTCGTCGAGTGAATGGAAGGACAGTGTGAACGAACGTTCGCGCGCGTGAGAGAGATGACAGAAACGCGAAATCTACGCGCTATTCGCTCGGCAATTCGAGTGGCAATTCGGATGACACTTTCGGATCTTACCACTCGGCCGACCTGAAGCAACGGTACATACATTGGCTATCTCGTCAGTCACACGGCTCTTATCCAACGGCCAATTTCGAGGGGATTTTCTCTTCCTTCGCTCTTCCTTAGAACGTCTCGGGAAGGAGCTCGTGCAGCGAGCCGACGACTTACGAATTAAAACTGTGATCCAGGTCAGGATCAAATCCGGCTGAAATTGATCGGGGAGAATGAAAACGATGACTTTTGTCGGTGAAGCTATTTAGTTTGTGTGTGTGTAGTAGTCCGGTCCGGCTCGAGACAGACGGTGAGATCTCGACATTGCCATTGAGGAAGATTCGTCAATTTCGCCAAGTCGGCCAGATATTCTGCGACGAAAGGGACGGGAGAGCAAGCCTGTACTATACTCGGCCAGCTCAATGAGCAAACATTTCAGATCAAACGTATCAGTCGAATGTGGCGCGATCGTGTACGGTAGACTTGGTAATGGCGCGTAGATTAAGAGCGCGAGAGAGCACCGACGATGTCGGCCGAGTGGAAACAGACCGCTCGTGTCGGACGAATCGAGAACATCACGCTCGCGTCTGCAGGGAGTAGATATTTTCACTCTGCACACTCTTTAAACTCCTCGAAACTTTATCTCCGTATCTGGTGTAATTCCTTCGCTCTCGCAAAACCAAACGTATTGCCAACGAGTAACAATAACGGACCGACAAAGTGTAAAAGTGAGCGATTCTTAAAATTTTTTAAGGGACCGCCGATCTCTTTTTATCGGACTGTCGGATGCAGCTGCCGCGCGTGCTTGCAATTATACGATACGTACAATTACATAGTAATTTTTGCCAATCATTTCCAACTTCCATGCGCGGGACAAACAATCGCGCAAGATCGGAAAGCGAAAATTTGCTCATACGATCGACTCCCCTCCGTCGTCCGAGCAAAAGAAAGAGCTTCTGCCGCTCGAATTGGCTCGACCGGAATTACCGCTGATATTTATGCACATTGTTCTCGATTAGGCGATTTGTGAGTTCGATTAGCTAATAAAGGGGTTGGGATGGGAAGAACGAACCCCGTGAGCCCGGCTCGCGCGGCATTTTGCTCTCGAGTCGCGAGACAGATTAATTGTATTAGCGCGAGCCTGGCTCATCGCTCCTACGTGCAACAACGGGGGTCAAATGGTGGTAGTAGGGCTTTAGAGAGAAGTTGATAAGAATACGAAAAAATGCATGCGACTGTGTTTGTGGCGTAAAAATGTGTCGATATGAGAGAGAGCCCCCCGTTGGGCTCGCGTGCCGGGCGTGCCTCGGCGCAACTGATTGATTCATAATCTGTTGACGATTCCAGCGCGCCGACAGGAAATCATCAAGATGACCGAGCAGTTGATCGAGAGCATCAATACCGGAGATTTCGAGGCGTACACGTGAGTAACCACTTGGTTGAGAAGAAATGCGGCGTGTGTCTTCTCTCTCTCTCTCTCTCTCTCTCTCTCTCTCTCTTTCTCTCTCTCTCTCTCTCTCTCTCTTTCTCTCTCTCTCTCTCTCTCTCATCTCTCGTCATTGAATAATTGCCAAACGCTGCGTAGAGTTTTTCGTATCTCGATGAGGAAAAGTTTACTCCAAATTGGCTGGAGAATACGAGAAAGACTCTCACTCTCACCGGGTCTTCGTTCGCTTCCTTCGTGTACAAGTGAGACCAGAAGTAGGCTAGAAAGAAAGAAACGAAACCGAGAGGCTGCTCGAGACCTTAATCGAGAATCTTAATCGTTGCACGACAGGTGAACGAACAGGTGATTCAGTCGACATAACAAATGGCACGCATGTGTAACGATACAAGAATTATCGTCGCAGTTGCGCTATTGAGAGCAAGACATTAGTCGAACAAAATATTTACGTGTAAAATATTTACGCACTCGCTCACACTTGGCACATACATTTTTGCCATTAATGCGGTACAACGTAGCTGCGCATATCCGTGTTTTCTCGCTCAATGATTTGCGCGCTGCGCGTGCGCAAGAATGATTGCAATTGTTGGGCTGACGTTGAATTTATTCTGCTTTTTCAATCGGTCGGCCGATAGTCAAAATATTCGTTGCACCCGATATATGCGGTCCGTTCGTTATTATATTAGCGCGATAGGTAAATTTGGCGTCGTATATTTATTCAGCGCGATGTTCACTCGCGCTGAATTTGCGGTATGCTCCGCTAGCGTATTCCTTTCAATTCTTTCTCGCCAGTTTGGAGTCGATTTTTGGAGAGAAGCTTTGAGAGAAAAGTCAGAGTCACGATATATTTTCAGTTCGTTTGACTTTGCTTCGACGAAATTTTCATTCACCGTTTAATTGGCAAAAGATTCGACAAGAGACGTAAGTCGTGACGAGAACGAGAGAGAGAGAGAGAGAGAGAGAGAGAGAGAGAGAGAGAGAGAGAGAGAGAGAGAGAGAGAAAGAGTCGTCACGACGGAGGTCGCTCGACATTTTCGAAAAAAATGGACCTCTGACGATCGTTCAACGCGCGCACGCGCGCTCATCTTCCGCCATGCTTTCAGGAAAATCTGTGATCCACACCTGACCGCGTTCGAGCCGGAGGCTCTAGGTAATTTAGTCGAGGGAATGGATTTCCACAAATTTTACTTTGATAATGGTAATTATGACTCGTTTGCGTCACCGTTCAGCGTCGCGCTCGCCGTCACCGCGATGTTTAATGTAGCCGCACGCAATTTTAACGTTAGCTGACTTTTACGTTTTTCGTTTGCGCGCCGTCGTGCATGCTCGCGCTTTCCCCAGGGGAGCAACTTTCGACTTGCCACCTTTGTAACGATGAGACCTCTCTCGACATCGGCATAGTTACGCTATCATCGGTGCGCGCCGAGATACGCGCGCGCACGCGAATACGAAACGCCGGCTATTAGCAACTCTGTGAATTTGCGACTTAGACAAGAAGATTACGACAAGAACGAGCAAGTATTCTCGCGCAAAATTCTCTCTCGCGCTCGTTGTACAAGCTATGTCTGTTTTAACACAAACAAAGCAAAGTACATACGATACAAAAGTCTTCTCCGGCTTTTTTCTTCCCTCGCGACGCCGCGCAAAACCAATGGAGTTTTTACTGACGAAAATTGCTCCCCAGATGCGAACGCGGTAGTTCTCGAGCCCGACCCGGTATAAGTCGACCAGCTCATTTTCTAAAATGGTCTCTGATGCGAGACCGCGATCGGTGCACAAGCTCTCGTCGCCGTCGCGAAATTAACGTCTGAATTAACGTTAATCCAGCTTCTTACTGCACTTCCCTTTAATTTTACTGACTAACAGCGTATACGCAGGGGCTGCGCCAGGGGCGAGGCATACTCCCGCAATTACGGGTCATCGAAAAGATTGCGCAGGGTCATCATTTTTTTCGCGTACAGTGGTCAGTGTGAAGTCGCGAGACATTTTATCTTCACGTTCTCGAGAGATGATGCGAGGTCTAACCTGTGAAATTTAATTCGCGCGGTCGCGTGCAGAAAATATAATCTCGCGTATCTTTGACGCGTGCGAAACTAAATATAAAGCCAAATCGATCGAATTAACGCGCTTATACCGCCGTCACTCAAGTTTCTCCGTTCGTCACTCGGCGGCAGCGTTCCAATCTCAGAATTATTAATTTTTTTCTTTTTCTTTCTTTCTTTTAATAACAAGGGGAGTAGCGCGGATCTCATCTCGTTTTGAAATATCCAGTATCCTATTAGAGCAACGCACCAACAAACCGGAAAAAGTGAGAAGCTCCGTAGCAGAAATTTGCGAAAAACAGGATAGGTTGTTGTAGAACGAGTTTATTAAACTAATTTCTTTCTGCTCATTTTTTTTTTTTAATAGATTCTTATCTCTCTGCCGTGCTACCACACTCTGATGCCTAATTCAAATTTCATGGAAACGAACAGGATTAAACTTTTCTGTTGTAATGAATAAATTACAAGAGTTTGCATGGGTAATGTCAAGAAGCTCTTCCTCGTGCCATGAGAAGTGTGCCTGGCCCTGTGGACGCGAAATTTTCTCAAGAGCATGCTGTTTGTTCCTTTCTCTTTATTTCTCTTTTATCCCTTCTCTTTCCCTCGCTTACGGCGCTCACGCTCACCGTCGGCTTTAGCGGCCTGCTCTCCTTTTTGTTTCTCTTAATCTCTCAGTGGTTGTGAAAGCTTTAAGTCGCGCGTCTCCCATAACGGATCACGCGGTGTATTCGAGTAACGTCAACTTTGCTTCCCGTCAAAACCTTAAGCAGTCCTGGGGAAGAACTGTAAGGCCGTCAATACGACGATCCTGAATCCCCACGTTCACCTGCTTGGCGAGGACGCCGCTTGCATCGCGTACGTCAGGCTGACACAGTACATGGACAAGTGAGTAAAAAAGAAAAAAAGAAGAAAGAGAAAAAGAGCGGAATCAAAGCCTGCAGTTTGCTGTGCGATTCAGGTTGTGCGACACGTGTAACTGTCAAGCGGGGTTGAGGTTCTCCTCAAGGGTTCAGTTTCGCTTTCCTATCGAAAGCGAATCCTCACGCAAATTGCGGCCTCGACGAGCTGCTCTCGTTGGAAAGTTGCTTCGTCTAATATTCGAGTGAAGATCAGTCCCGTCGGCAGCTCGGCAGTCAATGCTCTCGTTGTGCTCGTGTGCTAGTGAATTTTTTCTCGACATTGCACGCGTTATCGAAACTTGACCTCGTCTCGCACAACTACCACAAAACTTACCATCGTTTCGCGCGCTTTGACCACGCGGCAATTCTAATTTCGTGCCTCCCTTCTGCTTCCTTACCCGCAGACAAGGCGTAGCGCACACCCAGCAGAGCGAGGAAAGCCGCGTATGGCACAAGAGGGACAACAAGTGGCAGAACGTGCATTTCCATCGAAGCGCGGTGACGGGCCCGTCGCCGTTCTTCAGTCACAAATAAATCGGCCGTGGTCCAGCCCGTTGCTCTCGGTGGACGCTCGTTATCCCCGATCGAGCGCGTATGAACGAACGTTAGGAACATGGAGCACACGACGTACCCGAGCGTTTTCTCGCGATACGATTGTACACATTCAACACACACACACACACACACACACACACACACATTAATATACATACATAGCCACGTGCAGATACACGTGCGCAAAGACGGAGTTACGAAGAAAATACACAACGATATATAACGTGGTGTCTGAGAGAGAAGATATTGAAAAGTAAAACGAATACAAGGAAATATAATACAAATACACGTACACACTTTCTCCCTCCCTCTCTCTCCCTCCCTCTCTCTCTCTCTCTCCCCCTCCCTCTCTCTTTCTTTCTCTCTCTCCATACATATACACACACGCACACACACACACGTGCGCGCGCGCGCGCGCGCGTACACACCCTTAACAAGTAGCAGAAAGCGCGACAAAAACCAAAAGCAGCAAGATGCCGCAATCGCCGGCGCGTATTATTCGCTCCAGTACCTGCTCAGCGTACTTACCTACACTTTTACGCGTGCACCGCGCCACGTGTGCCTCAGCCTCGAAGGGGGAACCACGCGAAAGCGGAATCATCGGTAGCACGAAAAAACCGAATCCATCGTTCAATCGGCTCGATCAGTCGGTCGTTCAGTCAAATGAATCGATCGATCGGTCGATCGATTGTTCAACGAGTACCGAGGATGCGAGGCAGACGGACACGCAGACGGTCCGTTGTCGGTTAACGCGAAGGAAGAGACGGTGGAAAGGAGAGAGGGGGGAGAGAGAGAGAGAGCGAGAGAGGGGGGGGAGAGGAAAGAAAAGTAAAAATATTTCGCTGCATGTGCGTCCACGTCTCATCGATCGACGAAAACGACACGAGAGAGAGTGTCCATCCGAGAGATCGGTCCTTTGCCGATCCACAAATACAGAGCATCGTGATGCGTCCGAGGGTTGAAGTAGAGGAGAGGATGCGGAGGAGAGTATTGAGGAGATGGAGCGAGATCGGCAGACGGATGCGTAATATAATCGCCGCAACGGCAAACGGCAAATATGAACGGGGCAAACGGATCCTGGATGGAGGGTAATCGGGGGGTCACGGGGTAGATCGATGAGAGGATAATGGAAACGTGAGCGCGAGCAAACGCGACCGCTCGCCATCGATGCTGGACGTCGATATGGACGACAATGTCGTATAGAGGAGGAGAAGGAGGATCGACAAAGACCGCGGTTGACCGAACTGGGAAGAGAAAGATTCACGCAAGGATGGCGCGAATGAGGCGAGGTCCCCCAAGTCGCGAAATTGTACTCGCCGAGGTCGGTCTGACGAGTCTTCTGACGAGTCTGAATCATACCGTTGTACGAAATGGACCGCAAAATGAAACCAGAATGTGAATAACGAGCTATCGTTCTACGTCAACAGAGAGAGAGAGAGAGAGAGAGAGAGAGAGAGAGGGGGGGAGAACAACGACGTAATCGGAAATACTTGAAACAAGGACGAGCTGTGAATTATCGCGTGAAAGAAATCACCGGGTACGTCCTCATGTACTCCACGTGACCGCTCAATGAATATTGAATGAGCCACAAGATGACTTTGAGAAAATCAGAAATGAGGAACGGTATCGCGTAGGATGCGATGGGCGAGAGACATCGTTTCTCGCTAGAGTAAGGGGTGCAGTTGAACAGTTGACGGGGACAATGTAGGGACGCAGGAAGAGGAAGTCGAGCGACCGAGGTCGACCCGGATCGATGCTGGGCATCGACACGGGGTCAGCGACAGCGGTTGAGATAGAACGAGAAGTGGAGTTGGAGGAGGAGAAGTAGTAAGAGGAGGAGGGCGGGGAGATGATATCGAAATGCTGGGAGAGAGAGAACGAGGGAGGAAAACGAAGGCGGCGCCACAGTGGTGTACAACGTGGGACGGCAGGGTGGAATTGCGGTCGAAAAGCTCGCCGTGGTGAGCGAATGAAAAGAGAACGATGCCGCATCACGTCTCGTATTTAGTCGACGCATAGCGTCGCGGCGGGACATTCTTCCAGGTGATTCCTTTATTCGGCTTTCTCTCTCTCTCTCTCTCTCCTCTCTTCCCCCCCCCCCTCTCTCTCTCTCTCTCTCTCTTCCCCCCTCTCTTGTCGCTCGCAGCAACAGCGAGCTGCTGCATCGATGTGCGCGCGCGCACGTACGAGAGAGGTGAGAAGTATGCGTGTAAGTCGGCGCATCCGCAGCGAGATGCGAGATCGTGGATCATGAATCATTGCGTGAGAGACGTCTCGTTTTTATTACTTCATTAACGATAAGACTTTACCTCGAAGTTAGGCTTCTCGAATAGCTAGGTTCGCGTGGCGTGGCGCGCATTTTCGCGACGCTCTCTACATTACTAGAGCTCCGTTGTCGTCCGCGGGTCTCTCTCGCGTCGTACGGCGCGACGCGCGAGTCGGTCGTACGACAGAGAAATAAAATTGCGATATGTACATGCGTCGGGTTGACGGCATTCTCTGTAAGATGAAAAAAAAAAAGAAGGAAAGAAACGGTCTCACGGTAGTGTAAAGGGAAGCGTGGAACGTATCGGCGACGCGAACGTACACTTTAATATCTCTTTCGAGGAATTATGCATTTTTACCTAGCGATGTGCAAGAAAGTACTTCGAGCTTCGTACTAACGTATAGCGTAAGTTTGAGATATTAATAAGCTTCGATTGTTTCTACCGCGGTTTCTATCGCGATTAGCAGCAGCGTTCGAGATATACGACCACCACCACGAGTAACTCATGCGATGGACCCTTTGTAATGTTCCTTCCAAATATAGCGCGAGCACCGCTGCGACCATAATAAATTTAAGAGCCAACAAACTCAACTCGCCCAGGCGGCTGCAGTGTTCAGTAGAATCCATCGTATCTCGCTGCGGATTGTACCCCGCCATCCCCGTCTTTCGCGTACACACATGCATATACGCTCATACACACGCCTGTACACGAGTCCAAACGTACGGTAATTTAATGCAGGACGCGCAATTGTCTCGGAGAAAAGAGAGAGCGATCCTTTACGTCGTTTTATCCTCATCCTCGTAAGGATGACACCGGCGCGCCGCGACGGGCTTCGCCATTAGTTATAATGTACTTGTACGGTGGGTGACACATTAGATACATACGATACATACATGTAAAAATACGTATACACACACACACACACATACACACACACACATACACACCGTACAAATCGAATCCACCACTGTCTCCACCCTGCCCTTTTAGCCCAGCCCCGTAATTTCATTTGTCAGTCGATCTCGCATCCCCGAGTGCACGTAGGTGAACACGATTCAACGAGAGGAAACACCGTAGGGCAAAATCTTTTCTCTCTCTGAAAAGGATCAGAGGTAGAAAGAGGGAAAAAAAGAAAAAAAAAAACAAAAAGAAAACTAAAGTAGAACGAGTGAGACGAAGGATCCTAAGACAAAAAAA